GTCGTATCCATTAAGAAAACAATATTAAAAGAATTGACTAAGTGCACTGAATCGGGATGTATCCAAAACAAGTCACTTACCACGTTAGAATCGTCCAAACATCTACTTCTCTGGATGTATTTGTCTCTATCTAACAACATCATCAACTGCTGCATTTCAGTTCTAGACCCTCTCAAAGATCGTTTGTACGTGTACCTCACATTATATATTTCCTTTATCGTGATCACGTTATCTTCATTATGTTCTTTCAAAGTCAAAAGAATATTTGACGGCTTTACTTGACTATTAGTCATGTCCACAAGAATTGATTGTTCAGCAGCATTTAACCTACCCGCGAAAGGATGACCTACCAAAGTCTCTGCTAATTCATGGTTGTGATAGCCGCACATAACCTTTAACACCCAACCATCTCCTTTAGGTTTACCCCTCAACCTAAACGGACACTCATATTTTCTCGTACCAGAGACACTAGGTTGAACATCTGGCTTATACTTCCTATACTTCCCGCTTCTTTCACAGCCTAACAAAATAAATGTCTTTCTACCAGCTTCACCAGTTGCTGTGTCAGATCTTATAATGACAACAACAAATCCAAGATCAAATGCAATCTTTCGAACCCATTCAATTAAATCGGCGCGTGTTGGGAATATTTGATCAGTGGAAAATTGATCTGTGTAATCACCCTCATCCACTTCTTTTAAAAAATAAGAAAACTCCAATATAAAATCAGAATTTATTTCAGAATCCAAATATGGATACTTATCCATCTGATATAATTAAATATGACCTACAATAAATACTACAATTTAAAAATTTATTAAATAACAAAAAAAAAATTAAAAAGCACTTTTAAAATTAAAATGAAACTATAAAGAAGATCTTTAACCTAATGTTAATGAAAACTTATATTTTTAGAACTACAAATTATGCCTCGAACTAGATAGAGTATCTTTCTCTCGTAAGTGGACATTAAGTTGATGGATAAGGCAAGAGAATAATATTGAGTTGTTGGATAAGGCAAGAGAATAATATTGAGTCTGGTGGGATCTTAACTTCCATATTCATCTTTTCAACATAAAAATTAACTAACCTAAATATTATTAAAAATTAATTAACCTAAATATTATTAAAAATTAACTAACCTAAATATTATTAAAAATTAACTAACCTAAATATTATTAAAGAGGTTTTTGCCAGACTAATAATACATTGCCTACTAACTAAACATAATCCACAAACAACAAATTTAAAATAAAAATTCATAAAATTCGTAGCATAAAACATAATGAAAGAAAAACGTGCACATATAAGAAACTCACTTCAAAGTGCGACAGAAACATATAAAACGCACTTCAAAGTGCGACCACTAGGAAACGCACTTCGAAGTGCGGTTAGGATTCCGCGAATAACATACCTCTCTTCTTCCTCTCGCCCAACAATGCCACAACACCACCAGATCTCCCAACACACCCAACACAGTCAGGGAATGATAACCACCAACTCAATACAGTAAAGGAGTGAAAAAAAAAAACAAAAGCAATGAACAGAGAATGTTATGCTATAGTGAAACAGTGGAAACAAAGAAGATGGCTGCAACTTAGGATTTATACCAAAAGAAATTTTAGTTATTGACAGTTACAAAAAATGGTTGATGGTTAAGAAACATTAATTGATTAATTAAGTTTTGATTTTTTGTTAAATGAAGGGTAAAAAAATAAAATGGGAGTGCAGGATGATGAAGATAGTGAGGTGTAAAAGAATGACTCTTTAAATAAATAACATGCGATTCTATCTGCACTAAAATTTTAGCACTCCGAAGATAGTTAAATAGCTGCAATAAGATAAAAATTTAATATTTTTGTAGCTTAGGTGTATGTAGAAATTTCCCAGTGGTTTCTACTGAGGCATTGGAGTCCTCTCTACCTCTTACCTTTTTCACCATTGAGATATTCTACCAAAAAATTTAATTAAGGATTTCAACTGTAGTTTTCTGCACCTACAAATTCATTTAGTGCGCTTTTTTTTTCATCTTTTAGACAGAAATGTAAAATTACATTCTAAATTTGTGTAAACAGACAATTTTGGAGTTTAAAAATGAAGTAACATGGTTTCTCCAAGGCGAGGTTTAGAAAGAAAGAAGGCAAGAGTATAAATAGGTGGTATTTGAAGTTTGGTGTAGTTCATAAATCAACAAAACATGGTGAACCCAAATCTCAAAACAGACCCTTCCACCATTTACAATCTTCTCAAATCCTACGCACTTTCCCCCTCAACCATCCTCAAAGCCCACCACCTCTTCCAACAAATCCACCGACCCACCTTGTCATTTTGGAACCTCATGATCCGTGGCTGGTCCATCAGTGACCAACCCATTGAAGCAATTCGCTTGTACAACCTCATGTACGGTCAAGGCCTGATGGGTAACAACCTTACTTACCCTTTTCTCTTCAAGGCCTGTGCTCGAGTCCCTCATGTTTCTCGCGGTACAACGCTTCATGGCCGCGTTTTGAAACTTGGGTTTCAACCCCATCTCTTTGTTTCCAACGCCCTGATTCAAATGTATGGTTCTTGTGGTCATCTGGATTTTGCTCGGAAGGTGTTTGATGAAATGCCTGAAAGGGACTTGGTTTCTTGGAATTCGTTGATTTGTGGGTATGGTCAGTGTAAGAAATTCAGGGAGGTGTTGGGTGTTTTCGAAGCAATGCGGGTGGCTGATGTGAAGGGTGATGCTGTGACGATGGTGAAGGTTGTTCTTGCATGCTCTTTTTTGAGTGAGTGGAGTGTTGCTGATGCAATGGTTGACTACATTGAGGAAAATAAAGTGGAAATGGATGTTTACTTGGGAAATACCCTGATTGACATGTATGGACGGCGCGGTTTGGTGCACCTGGCTCGTGGAGTTTTTGATCGGATGGAACGGAGAAATTTAGTTTCATGGAACACCATGATTATGGGTTATGGGAAAGTAAGAAACTTGGTTGCTGCGCGGGAGTTGTTTGACACTATGCCGCAGAGAGATGTGATCTCATGGACTTCTATGATCACGGGTTACTCTCAAGCAAGCCGGTTTACGGAGGCAGTGAGGCTCTTCAAGGAAATGATGGAAGCTAAGGTCAAACCGGATGAAATAACGGTTGCCAGTGTGCTTTCTGCATGTGCTCATATTGGTTCACTTGATGTTGGGGAGGCTGTTAATCACTACATACGGAAATATGATGTGAAAACTGATGTTTATGTTGGCAATGCCTTGATAGATATGTACTGCAAATGTGGTGTAGTTGGGAAAGCATTGGAAGTATTTAAAGAAATGACGAAGAGGGACTCAGTGTCATGGACTTCGATCATTTCAGGCTTTGCAGTTAATGGCTTTGCAGATTCAGCACTTGATTATTTTTCACGGATGTTGAAGGAAAGTGTTTGGCCATCTCATGGTGCCTTTGTTGGAGTATTGCTAGCCTGTGCTCATGCTGGATTGGTTGACAAAGGATTGGAATATTTTGAAAGTATGGGAGAAGTTTATGGACTGAAACCAGAAATGAAACATTATGGATGTGTTGTGGATCTTCTGAGTCGCTCTGGAAATTTACAAAGGGCATATGAATTCATAAACGAGATGCCTGTGACTCCAGATGTGGTAGTGTGGAGGATATTGTTGAGCGCTTCTCAGGTTCATGGAAATGTTCACTTGGCCGAGATTGCCACAAAGAAGCTTCTTGAACTGGATCCTTCTAATAGTGGTAACTATGTACTTTCCTCTAATACTTATGCGGGCTCCAATAGATGGGAAGATGTCGTTAAAATGAGAGGACTGATGGATAAGAGTAATGTTCAGAAACCATCAGGTAGCAGTTTCATAGAAATAAATGGTCCAAACAGTTCTCGAGATTCTTTTATGAAACATCAACAGAAGAGTGAATTAACTGCTGTCTAGAAAATTCATTTTTTACTTCATAAGTTGATTTCATTTGTGGGACCGCACGTGCAATGGACATGATAAACCAAAAGGTCTGAAAATTTTGAACCTTACCTGATGGCCTTATCAACTCCGATTTGTCAAGCAAGGGACTTGATTCAAATTCTTATATGATGCTATGGAGCACTACTTTGATGGAGAACTAGTAGTTTTCCTTTGATGGAGCAGTACTTTGATTCTAATTACGGATTACGGATGGAATTGCTAATTGGGCATATATTTTCTTGTCTTGCGACGAGTTTCCTCCGGTTCACTGGTGGTTAGAGACTGATCATGCTCACGGTAATGTAATTGTTACTGACTCGACAAGTTTTAGCATAAAATGAGAATTAATAGGGCATAGGTTTAATGATGCCTAAATTGCTAATGTGCTTTTAGTACTAACGATGTGCTTATTTTGTATTAGTCGGTAGACTAGGTTGCAAACAATGCCCCACTAAAATCGTGAGTGGCCGCTACAAAATCGTATATATATATATATATATAACTGAATCGTTTTCTTCTGTTGATACCGTTTTCCTATTATTATGAACTCATTCTAAAATTTCTGCCAGGTAATCAATCATGGAACATGCCGGGTTTATTCGAAATGCAGAACAGAATTGTGTTCATGTTCTCAAATGATGCACTTGAACTGGAAAGCAAGTATGGGATTCACCTTAAAATTTTATTTACTCTTTCGTTTTTTTTTCTTGATCTCATGGTTTAGAATCTGCTATGATGACTCGGATTGAGTAATTAGTTATGTGTTAATCTGTTTCTTACTTTCTTCTCTTCTAGCAGGCATGGTTTATCATGAAACTTTGGTCAAGGACTCGCAACTAAATTATACAAAACATCCGTTCTGGTATTTAAATATGAACAATAAATGTTAGCCTGATTGGGCTTGTTCTATTGGTGTAGATCGTGTTGAAGGCTTAAATATTAAGAAAGAATTATTAGGCAACCAGAACATCTCTTCTTGTTGTAGAAAGCTTTGGGACATGTCTTCAAGCACACTTGCTTTATTGTTTTTGTTTTATCATGTGAATCTTTCTTCCATGTTCGGGATATTATTCGTTCTCTTTCCTATCTATATGGTCTTGCGTGTTTTAGCCAACTTTTTCTTTCTTTTCTTAACCGCCTTAGGGACTTTAGTTTTACGTGCTTCTCTTTTCCCCTCTTCACCACCTTCTTATTATCATTCTTGGCCTCTCTTTTTTCCTGCAGATCCACTGCTTCACTTTCTGAGGATGAATACTCTTCAGAAATGATCGGTGAATCTTCTGTGGCACTTGATTTCTGCTGTTGGGTCTTTTGCTGTGAAGACTGAGTTAATGACAGAGCATGTTTAAGCCCAGTAACGGTCCTGGTAGTATAAATCTTTAAGTGTCCTTTCCACTTGTTATCCGTTGTACATCCTCCTCAGCATTCTTAACATCAGTGTCTTTGGAATGAAAGACTAACAATAGTTCAAAGAAATTAAAAATGTAAGAAATAACAGCAAAGATTAATGTGTTTGTAAAAATCGAACTCTCGCATACTCATTAGAAAGGAAATGGTTGCCAAATAATGGAGAAAGAGAAGTTTGGGTTAAATAAACCAGTTTTGTTCCCATCCAGATTCGAAATGGACACACCAGTCATGCAAACAAAATTAAAACACCTTTTTTTTCAACCAGGTTCGAAACCCAGTCCAGCACAAAACCCAGAAGCAACACACTACACACACCACTAGGCCAAGCTTAACTCCCTAGTACATTAACCAGTCACACAAACAACGACAAAACACTTTTGTTTTTCAACCACGTTCGAA